AATACAGCAACATGCCACACCATGTAATACAGCAACATGTCACACCCTGTAATACAGCAACATATCACTCCATGTAATACAGCAACATGTCACACCATGTAGTACAGCAACATGCCACACCATGTAGTACAGCAACATGTCACACCATGTAATACAGCAACATGCCACACCATGTAGTACAGCAACATATCACACCATGTAATACAGCAACATATCACACCATGTAATACAGCAACATGTCACACCATGTAATACAGCAACATATCACACCATGTAGTACAGCAACATGTCACACCATGTAATACAGCAACATGCCACACCATGTAGTACAGCAACATGTCACACCATGTAATACAGCAACATGTCACACCATGTAATACAGTATCACACCATGTAATACAGCAACATGCCACACCATGAAATACAGCAACATGTCACACCATGTAATACAGCAACATATCACACCATGTAATACAGCAACATGTCACACCATGTAATACAGCAACATGCCACACCATGTAGTACAGCAACATGTCACACCATGTAGTACAGCAACATGTCACACCATGTAGTACAGCAACATGTCACACCATGTAGTACAGCAACATGCCACACCATGTAGTACAGCAACATGCCACACCATGTAGTACAGCAACATGTCACACCATGTAGTACAGCAACATGTCACACCATGTAATACAGCAACATGTCACACCATGTAATACAGCAACATATCACTCCATGTAATACAGCAACATATCACACCATGTAATACAGCAACATATCACACCATGTAATACAGCAACACGCCACACCATGTAATACAGCAACATGTCACACCCTGTAATACAGCAACATATCACTCCATGTAATACAGCAACACGCCACACCATGTAATACAGCAACATGTCACACCCTGTAATACAGCAACATATCACTCCATGTAATACAGCAACATGTCACCCCATGTAATACAGCAACATACAGCTTCAATGTGTTATATAGAACCCTTTTTTAGCAGTGCTTGTCCTGTCATTCCCTAATCACACCAAATCATATTACCCATCAAAATTGGTCTCTGTGAAATGTCCAAAGTATCATGATGTCATCCAAACTGAAGCACTACAGAACCCGAAATTTTAAAAAATGAGATTTCATTCAATGATTAATGACTTGTTTGATTGTCTTTATCATCTGCCGTTTATTGATTGATAAGACAGCCATGGTTGTAAATTATGTTAATTGGAATGACATATGCTTGATTGGCTATGACAGTGTTTAGATAAAGAAATATGCATAATTCATGAGATCAGTTAACAGTTGCGTGGGGATACAGGCCAGATTCATCTTCTTCTCTGCAGCAGATTAGTTTAATGCCACAATAGAAGTGGGAATGTCATATTGCCTTAATCAAAAACTTTTAAAATTTGGTTCAACGAATGTTTATTTAATTGTCTCTGTAACTTGAACACACGTGCACATGGAAAATTTTCTAATTTGAATTAAGTATGGCATTTTAAATGTTAAGCTCATATGTTAATGTGTCAGTGATCTGTTTCAATTTAGAATTTAACTACATGATGGGATATGATGTCCATTAGATTTTTTCATATTGAAGGAAAATATAAATATATTGCAGTCATGTTCCTATTCAAGTTCTCATCATAATGGCAGGAAGAGTGACTTTTCACCCAGACCATATTTTGGTAAATATTTACATATGAGTGGGAAGCAGATATGTGCATGTTAGGTTCTGCAGAGGATTGTGGGATATCCGATATGTTATATTAATCAAATCACCATAGAAGCCAATCTTTTATCTTTATTTTTTGTGAGAAAACCCACGCTGTTCCCATGCTATGACAAAAGGGTGCTGGGCTGGAGGGAGCTGTAAGGTATGAGAGAAATATTGCTTCTTCAATAATACTTTGGTGCAAAATGGACCAGTTTCATTAGAAAATTGGAATCTGCTTCCTGGGCAATAAATAAATAACCTGAAACAGGAAATGAAGAAAAGAAATATTTTGATAATATCAGCAAGGTTTATACATTCTTATAATTCATGGAGAAGAACTGAGAGGCAGGCGAGGAAAATGTGTTTTTCATCGTTATTGAAGGATAGAGAATGTTTTCATTGTGTGGCCTGGTCGCCCCCAGGCAGGTCTCACTGATTCACGTCGGTGATGTAATTTACAACTGTTTAGTCCCAGGCAGAGAATAACGCTCACCGCACCTCTGTTTATGGAGCAGAAATTATGCTCATTAAAAACACTAATTAGAATTGATTCAACTGAATGTTGATGCCATATAATTAGTTCTTAGTATAATTGTTATGAGAAATTTTCATGAACATTTCATCATTATTTTCGATGTAAACAATGTTATTTCTAAATTTGTAAAATAAATATTGCTGTATGAATTGTAAGAGGCGGACATAATTAGCCTGATTATGTTCTTACTTGTTCAGTCATATACCTGTGATTCAAAACAATCAAAATGATTATCTATTATAATGACTAATGTTGATGGAACATTTAGCAAGTATTTCTGAAAATCTTACTTTCTAAATCAAATTTGGCAGTAATTTAGATCTCATAATGTTTTTTCCATTTGTCATCTGCATTATTTGCTTGTGAGCAATTCATATTTGGCTTGTGAATAATTGTGCTTTAATGTGGTTAGCAGTGAGTTCGGCTTCCATTTGGCTTGAGGCAAGTAGTCGTAAACTGCACAACACAGGAATATCCCCTGAAGGGGAAATCGGTTCTGAAGGCTGCCATGTTGTTTTATTGCCAGAACTAAGATACAGAAACTTTGAACTCTGTTCATGTAGCGGAAGTTGAAAGAAGACTACAAAAGAGAGTTATGCTTTATGTAGTATGATACGCTTAAAAAACAGACATTGCTGATGATATCTGGATGAAATTGGCTTTATGGAGTACATCAGTCAAAGATGTACTGTGGTATATATAGATTTAATGGACAAAACTGGAATAGGTTGTCTGGATGGTAGTATATTTGGGGATATATGTGTCAGTTGGTTTGCATATTACAAAACAAATGTTTTTGATTTTTAGTCAAAGTTGTTGATGAATATTGTCATATTTAGGAAAAGAGTGTTTAAAACAGAGCTTAAAAGTATTAATCTTTGACAAAAATTAGGGCACAAATAAGTTACGGAATATGCAAAAGTATAATTTTGGCATTTGAGTTTTATTTAGTTTTATTTAGGATAATGTTGACATAACTCCATCCTATCATTGTGTAAAGCTGTTTAATGTTAGGGAATTTCATTATATTTTCTGGCTTCAAATTCTGGTTGCAAGCAATAAAACATTTATTCTGTCACATGACAATTTTCATTTGTGTGATTAAGGCATGGAGTATTTTATAGCACTTCAAGGAAAATTACTTTATGTAAATTTACAGACTAGAAGAAAGAGAGGTAGAGATTTATCATGCAATAGCTGTTTAGGTCAATTATAGCATTACACAGTCATAATTGTCAGATTATCACCCATTGTTCTTTTACTACAATGGCAGCAATGAACAAATTTGGTGTCTGATTCGTTTAAGATTTGAAAGATCCTGACCTAATCCAATTTAACAGAGTGTTGTTTGTGTTTCAAAGGAGGGCAGTTTGATGGAGGTGTTTTGAACGAGGCAGACCTTCAGCCGGGTATTGTGTGACTTTGATGCAAGTGTGCCGGAAAGGGCGAAATATGGACTGGTTTAGATTCTGACTCATACTGGCAGCTCCATGATCCCGCCATACGTCATTAGATTTAGACGAGGGCTTGACTAAAACAGGAATAAAGACCTGTGAAATAGGGGACTGTAACGACCTGAGCCCATCTTCGCTGCGGAATTGCCACAGTTACTGCTGGATTGTAATGGAGGCTGTATAATGGCTCAAGGCCCAGTGTGGGGCCAGTTCCCATAGAATTAGGGGTCATTAGGTCTTTCACCAGCTCTGTTGGCCAGAGTTGGTCATTTCTCCTGCTGAATCTGATTTATTTAGCATCCATACAGGCCTTCGATTCTATCAGTGGGGCTCCTCGTTTTGGGCTATTTAATCATCTGAGTTGGTAATAATTGCTTTTATGAGCATGACCAGTGTGTGACTAAGAGAGCCCATCACCACATGGCCGTAATGTGTTTCTCCGGTCAGTACATCTGCATTTATAACAGAACACACCAACACTCTACTGTTACTTTTAAACGTCTGATGAGGAGAAGTCCTTTCACTTTGTCGGGAAATATACACTTTCCGGATTATTACCCTTTGTTTATTTAAGTGTTTGGTGCCAGCCTAGATTTTATTTCTACCATTTGATAACGTTATTTTATGATTTATTTTGTCATCTCTGATGAGAAGTTCTTTTACCTTGTCAGGAAATATACACTTTCTGGATTATTGCGTTTATTTAGATATTTGGTGCCAACCTACCGGTAGATTTTATCTACCATTTGATAAAGTTATTTTATGATTTATCCATTCGAATATTTTCACCTAGTGTGAATATACATATTGCTGCATCTGGAATGGGTAATGTTATAGTTCTTTTTGCTGTCTAATGACACATTCTCTGCATTACTCATTACAGGGAATTTCAAATACTTCATTTTTTAAATTTTATGATAAAAATGTTTTATTATTAAATTTTGCCAAAACTACTGGGGATTCAACTCCTTAATTTCAGTGTCTAATGACTAGGCAGCCTTCCATTCCCACTCCCAACAAAATGGCAACTGCCGTCTGCTTCAGTGCTGCCGTCTGTTACAGTGCTGCCGTCTGCTACATCTGCCTAAGGCAGACAACAGGACTTAGGTGTGAAATGCTTCAATTTTTAAAGCTTCCCTGTTCTGCAAAGTCCAGAGTGTTCTGTTGCACGGTCGTTCAGTGTCATCAATCAGTGTTTAGGGTGTGTTTGTAGCTTCAGTCATGAGCTCACATCTCTAACAAACTTAAAATTAATCATGTTCGTTCCATGTTTCAGGAGTTTGAGTGCGGGGTGCAGTTTGAGGGCTCCGAAAATTCCAAACAAGAATGGTCCTTCACGTTATATGACTTTGACGGGCATGGCAGAATCACTAAAGAGGTAGGTACAATGAAAATGTGATGTTTTTACCTTGATTCACTTCCAAATGAGTTCCCCATCCCACTGACAATGGTGAGTCTTTGTACATGTCAGATGCTTGTGAATGAACTATTTCTTGTCTTGGGGTAAATAGTATCCAATTTTGAGTTCCGAAATCGAGACAATTGATGGGATCATATTTCCGGAGCTGACAAATTTCTTAGTACCATGATGTGACAGGGAAGCCCAGCATTTATTTGTCATGACGGAGACCCAGGTTCGATTTCAAACAGGGGTACAATGTTTGAATGTTGGAATATTGTTGGAATATTGCTGGAATATTGCTAATAGATGCCTGAAACCATATGTGCTCATGATCTCACTCACTCACAGAACCAAGCTTTTCCAAATGAAGTCCACCATTCCACCATTTCTAGGGTAGATTTTCACAAGTCTCTAAGGCAATTATTAATTTACTGCAAATCATTCCTAGATTATTTAAATTAAGAACATATTACCCATTTAAAAGAATGGTGTGTCCATTTATCCATTTGTGCCTCTTATAAGGATGCAGTAACTATATATCCACAGATTCATAGTTCAGTAAACCCTTGCAGCAATCCATTTTAAGTTAATTCTCTTACACATCGAAATTTTTTTAAAAAATAAATGAAAATATCACATAAAACACAACAATAGGATGAAATGCCTGTACAAGCAGATTTTTGTCTGTGAAAAAAAGTGTAATCAGACAGAAATATAACACGTGTAAGATAATGTTGCCTAAGAGTAGGTCTTTAAAAGTTTTGAGAAGATTAAATGTATGTTGTTTGAAGTGTACCATTAAGCAGCATTCAGATCTAGAGTTAATATCAGGTGTTGAGTTTCAGAGATGGATTGTTTTATTAATTTGATATAGAAATGAGAACACTTTACGTTATGAGGCTGGAGCATTACAGAGGTCTTCCTAGAACTTTAACGGCGTGCTCATGTTCACTTGCTCATAGTCAGTGATATCCAAAATTATAATTTTTTTAATGTCTTGTTTCAAGTAGTTCAAAGGTATATAAAATGTCAACGAACTCCAATAAATAAAACCTATTAAATTCTTTTCGTACAGTCAATCTCACACATTTATTATTTTTGATAATCTGACCCTTCCCTTTGTAATGTTAGAGACATGTTTTCCAGTCAGTTTTTTAGTAAACATATCTTCCTGTTTTTATTATGATTGTTGTCTTCTATCTAAGAAAATCTCCGAGATCAAAGTACTGTATGTTACACCATGTATAATCCTTTAATACGATGATTACTTCCAATATTTGCCAAGAGACATAAAAGATCAAAGAATAAAATCCACTTTGTCTTCACATATTGTTTGGTAGACAAAAAGCAGTAGCATCATCCAGACGGGTGCGATACAGACTCCTTCACATCAAAAATAATAAAGTACAATACATAGAATGGGTTACAAGTAATTCTTCTAGCCAGGAAGGACTTAATTGTCATCCTGTAAGCTTTCATCCAAATACTATGTTGGGGAATACTGTAAACGAGTTTGTCTGATAACGAGCTTCATAAAGACAGCTTTACCCAGGAGAGACTAATATCAAAGGAAGGCTTGTGCTAGAACTTTCTCCAGATAATGTGTCTTCATATCAAATTTGGCGTAGCTGATCATTCCTATTTGAGTATAAGGGATATTGATAGGAAGCAAATTACTGTGTAAACCTCAAGGGTTTGTTGGTGTTGGTACTGGCGGGGGGGATCTCATACCGTCATCTATATTATGGAGGGATTCATCAGCCTCTAGATCATGTTGGCGATGTTGGACTGACGAGGTAGAAATTGTCAATGTCATACATTGGAAGTCTGGACTAATCAAGCCGGTGTTCGTTACGGGAATCTAATATAACATATTCGACTTAACTTGAAAGGGACTGGTAAACTGGCCTAACTGCCTTATATAAATATCTGTCCTTGTTACGTGATTATGTTAGTGTAGCCATCAGAACTTTAAGGTCAAACAGCAACACAAACAATATTGTGAAAGTAATGCTCGTGTTACCAAGACTACTGTAATGTGCATCTAAGACAGTTATATATTTATACTCAGTGTATAAACCACCAGTATTTCCTGTGGAGCCATGGAGTGAATGAGGTTAGTTTTACTCCGCTTTTAGCAATATTCCAGCAATATCATGGCTGGGGACACCAGAAATGGGCTTCACACACTGTACCCATGTGGGGAATCGAACCCGGGTCCTTGGCGTAACGAGTGAACGCCTTAACCACTAGGCTACCCCACCGCCCCTGTGTTGAAATAAACTATTTTAGTACAGTTATTGTTTTAATTGATTCTTTCATATGACTATAGTGATTGTTGTATTAAATGAGATGTTAAACTACATCTGAAATTTTATAAAATAGAAATTCTCAAATTTGAAAAATTTCAATTTTCTCAATTTGCCTACCAGTTGAACATAGTTCTAAATTCAGGTAAAATCTCTGGAGGTTATTTTTTGGTTTAAAAACCAAATAGCGCCAGTTCCACAAAGAAATCATATTGCAAGACTATCATCAGTGTTCGATACAGCATCATAGTTAAGATCACCATAACGCTACAAACACTTTGTTGAGCAGGATCCAGAGTTAGGTATGACCTTTCTCGAAAGCAGTGAAAATCTTGTTATTGCCCCTGAAATTGTCAAGCTAAATAAAAGTCCAATATGAGCAAGGGACTAGATGTTTCTGATTAAATGTAAACCAGGATTAAATCATTCTTAAGATGACCAACAAAAACAAGACAAGTTTCCTATAGTATAACAGCTTTGGTTTCGGACTGACCGTCACCACTGGAATGGACAGCTTCATTCAACTCGGCTGCAAATTGTGCGGAAACATCGGAAGGATAAACTGGTTACTCCTCTGTCAAATAGAAGCATGCTATAAGGTATCTCTCCTGCGATCACAAAGTCTGACTTTGTTACAGCCCGTATCGGCTCAGTCTCTTTGCAATGCTTCAAATAACCCTAAATTACCCCCAAAATGGACTGCAAATATGTTCTTTGGCTGCACCAAATCGCCTCGTCTGCTGCGAGGATAGCAATGTTCACATTTCTTTTCCATTTGTGTTTGAAGTAAGAGACCTCCGTTATCAGTTGGTGCTCATGCTTGCCAAGCTAAAACTGATATATTGCAGGAGTTTGCTTTTAGACAAGCAGATCAGGAATCGGATATGGACTGAATGGAATATAAACTCTGGGGATCGAAAATTTAAGCTTGTGTTTCACAGAATTCGGTTTGTGTAATTGGTATGTTCTGGAACTGTGAGAGTCCAGATGGAATGGCAGGCTTTAAGGATTGAAATGGCGGATTAGTAGGAAGAACGGTCCCAGTTAGATTCACATTGGAATCATTGCATAAGGCTTGATTCTTGTGTGCAACAAATAGTCGTAGTAATTGTATAGACACAAATTGGTTCTCAAATAATACAAGAGTTTGTAACTGTGGAAGAAAATTATGTATATGGGGCTCGTGTTTTATAACGCAACAGCAAACTGTATTTGTAGTGGTTATGTCAATATATATTTCCTTCTGCCAAATATTTTCTATTACCCATTATCACAAATGTCAAATATAGAGGACAGATTTAATTTACCAAAATATATTTATCAAAATAAGACAAAATATTGTCCAACAAATCATGCAACACTAATTGTGAATCAAATCTTGATTATTTATTCTTTTGGCCTTATCATATTAAAAATAGTATTTGTACTAGCAAAATTAAGTTAATGACACATTTAAATTCCCATTTTATTGTTGGTCATACAGGAAGTTAATGGCCTTTAATAGTTATCTATACTAGTGGTTACTCACTAAGAAGTGAAGGTTCGACTCCCCACATGGGGTGGGCACTGTGATATTGCTGGGATATGGAAAAAATTAAACTCACTCACTATTCCTAAGAAAGGGATTACAATTTCATTAGTATTTTAATTGTATCATTAAATAAACATATTGCCGTGTCATAGCCTAATGTACTTCATGCTGTTGAAGGACGGTGGGGTAGCCTAGTGGTTAAAGTGTTCGCTCGTCACACCAAAGACCCGGGTTCGATTCCCCACATGGGTATAATGTGTGAAGCCCATTTCTGGTGTCCCCCGCCATGATATTGCTGGAATATTGCTAAAAGCGGCGTAAAACCCAACTCACTCACTCACTCACTTATGCTGTTGACCATTGGTTTACTGGCCCAGAATGACTGTATACAGGCTGTCATGATGTAGCGATTTTTATCACTCCCTTGCTGTGATGCGGTATGACAGACAACAAAATAGCAATTTGGAATATATATGTAACTTTTGTCAAGCAATAACTGAAAGAGACATAAGATTATTAAATGTAATTGATTCCGACACAGAGTAAGTAAACACAGCAATAAAAGTGTTAATCAGATTATCAACCAATCAGCATATGTCTGTCTCTCGACATCAACACATAAGAAAACGATTACAATTTCCAAGTGCAGCAGGAAACTGAGAGAGTCTCCTCTGCCCTGTGAGATGTCTGGGGTCAGGTTGTATGTCTCAACTGGTGGGTTGAGTGTGGAAGGTTAGGCTAAGTCAGACTGTTATCACATGTATAGTGAAGAACATCAACACTATCAAATACCTTGTATTTCCTGATGTGCCTCTTCTCACAGCTGATTGGCTGGGAGACAGGATGAGGGAATCATGGGAGTTGACTGGTCATCTACTCTTGGGGCCTTGATAAGGAAGAATATATCTGGGTTGGGGTCTGTGGAAGGGGGGAGGGTTTGGAGGGGGGACAAGAAGGTGTAGGGTATACTTGTAGGTAAACAACATATTTGGAATGTTAATGACTATGCCTTTACTTTAGAGTGGTTGATAACTGGATTGTCTGGTCCAGACTCGATTATTTACAGACCGCCGTCATATAGCTGGAATATTGCTGAGTGCGTCGTGAAACTAAACTCACTCACTCACTACTTTAGAGTGACTACCTGGATTAGGTGTAAGGTTCAGTCACTTGGTTGTACGTCATTGTTTTCCCAGTGTATGAATTGTTGCTCATAGTTTCAATCACTTGATTGTCTGGTCCAGATGCGATTACTTACAGATGAATGTCATTTAGCTTGAATATTGCTGAGGTGCATTGTCAACAAACAAACAACATCAGCAGAAGAGTATGACCCCCAAAACCTCCAATTTCTCATTGCAGTGTTCAGTATGACCTTCTGTGAAGGTCGGAACTCACAACTGATTCTGTCAATTTAAAAAAATATATTTTCACCGTCATAGGAAAAAGCCAGTCTATCAGGTATTAGTTGGTACATGATGTTGGTATCAATGATATGCCTAACAGATGATATTGGTGTAAGTATTAATGATATACCAAACTGAGTGAGTGAGATTAGTTTTACGCAGCTTTTAGCAATATTTAAAGCAAAATCATAGGGGGGGATGCCAGAAATGGGCTTTTCACATTATAGACCAAACAGATGATATTGATATTGGTATGATAATATACAAAGCCCATGATATTGGTATTTTTATTAATGATATACTAAACAGATGATATTGGTATTTGTAAACATTTGACTACGCATGACAAAACTAGGATGGTCTGAGTCTGCCAGATGTTTCGTAACCGCTGATCCCTCACCTCATCAGGGCCCATTCTGCTGTGTGTATTCGTGTACCTTGATGATCAGGGCTATCTATAAGGGAAGGTGATGAAAGGCATGCTCCCATCTTCCCCGTTAACTCCCTTCTGTCAGTAACTCCTCACCTCTCCTGATGTCTAGCACATTTGGAAATATAGTTAACTTTGTGCTTGAAGAGTTCCATATGGAACCAACTCCAGCAGTCCCAGCACATGGGTGTTAAAGCCTCACATATGAGGTGTTATGAAAGTGTGTGTTATTGACGTTTACAGGTTATAGATATACTGATCTATGTAAATACTGAACTTATGGGGATATCTGACAAAAACTGGTTTACTTTCATCATCAAAATTGGTTTGAAATGTAGGTTTGTTTTGTTTTATCATTTGAATTATAATCCTTGTATTATGGTCTTAATAATGTTATTTAAGAGGATGGGTCCCTTATGTCCTGTTCAAAGGTCATATTGTTATGATATACCAACCTTGGGACTTTCAGGGGTGGAAATAACCCATTGCCCGACGTCCGAGTCCAGTGCTTTTTTCTGTGGGGCAAGCAAATTTGTATATCACGCTGTACCGCTGTACAGTTGACTTTCCAGTGATAATAATGGTGTTTACTTAAAAAATCAATAAGAAAACGTCCGGTATAGTGGAAAAATTATCAGGGCAAGTGATTTTACATGAGCCACTGTACCGGAGTACACTAGCAATTTTAAAGTTATTTCCACCCCTGGACTTTACTCTTCTTTAGTCAACAGTGTTGTCCTTATGAGAACCAATAGTATAAAGTCTTTATATGATTTTAAAGTTAAAACTTTCTCTATGCATTATCTTATTTCACTATATATTTGTTTCAGGATCTAGCCAGCTTACTCAAAGCTCTGTACGATGCTGTGGGATCCTCGATCAAGTTGCCACCAAACGGCACGAAGACGCTGAAGCTACGTCTGACAGTAGGCCAGGATAATACTCAGATTCAGGTACAGAGGGCCTCTCCCACAAAGGGAAAGGAGAACGGAAAGTCAAAAGAAAGCAAAACCAAAGACTCAATCAGAATCAAAGAATTGTCGAAACTGAATAACTTTATGCAGCCAGGCTCTGCAAAAGTGAACAATGAGACCCAGAGTGCGGCAGCAGTAACTGGAACAAAGACTACGACAACTACAACGACGACGACTCGCAACCAGTTGAGTCTGGAGGACCAGCAGCAGTTGGTGGAGCTGGTACAGGAAAACATGGAGAGGAACCACATTAAACAGCTCAGGTACGTCTCTCTCTCCGATCAGCCGCCTCTGTGGTGTAGTGGTTAGAGCGTCCGCCCGGAGAGCGGAAGGTCGCGTCCGATCCCCGACCGCGTCATGCCAAAAGACTTTAAAATATGGTACTTGTTGGTCCCTGCCTGGCGCTCGGCATTAATGGATACAACAAGGACTGGTCGGCTCGGAGTCAGTATAATGTGTCTGAGTGGGGTATTCATGCTTCACTGCGTCATGGTATCTCAGTGGGCAAGCACTATAAAACCAGCTTCAGTCTGGGCTAGTACAAGCAGCCGCACTTGCACATACACATACGCGCATGCACGTTGTCATATGAGTGAAATATTCTCAATCACGACGTTAAACCCAATTTCACCTCACCTCACCTCACCTCACCTCACCTCACCTCTCTCCGATCATCAGGATCACATCAAGCTGTTACCTATGTTCCATGATATAAGGGGTATCACATGGTAGGTAGTATCTTCTTAAACCAAGGGATCACATGATCAGTAGGATCACATTATTCAGTTCGTTAAGTTCTTTGATACAAGGGGTATCAGATGATCGGTAGCATGTAATCAAACAGTTCAGAGTGCCTATTATCAAGGGATCATATGATCAGTAGGATCACATCAAATATGTCATGTAGATCACGTCAAATATGTCATGTAGATCACGTCAAATATGTCATGTAGATCATGTCAAATATGTCATGTAGATCACAAACAGTTCATGTAGATCACACACTGCAAAATATTGGGGAATCACATGATCTGTAAGATCACATCGAACAGTTCACATTCATCACACTCTGCGAATTCAGGGAATCATATGATCATTAGGATCACATCAGACGGTTCACATGTGTCACACTTGTAGTAGGTGATCTTGGTAGCAGTCGGATCATATCACACAGTTTACGCACATCACACACAGTGAGAACAATCAGTGGCTTCCTAGAAATCATCTGGGATGTGTCACAAAGAGTGCATATTTTTATGATCAGATTAAACAGTTAAAACAGGGCATGATTGTTGATGGCCTGAAATGTCCCCTTGAATATCATCAACATCCATGGCAGGTTAAATCTGTATGGTCTAAGCTACACATATTCACACACGATATGTGATGAGTCCCAGTCATCACAATCAAACACTTATGATTGTGACAGTCACAACACTGGCAGGTTAAAAATTACATAAATCCCAGTCACACGATCCTTTGTGAGTGACAGTCACGATGTCATATGTTCACACGATCTGTAATGAATGTCGGTCACATGATCTTTGATGAGTGTCAGTCACATGATCTGTAATGAGTGAGGGTCAAAGACTAGAAGAATTACATAAGTAACGATATCACATGTTCACACGATCTGTAATGAATATCAGTCACATGATCTGTTATGAAAGAAAGTGAAAGACTCAATGAGTTAGATTAGTAATGATGTCTGTGGTTGTGGAATGGTGTCCGATAGATTGTGTGGATAATTAGAGATCAAATACAAGACACACAGGTAACGCGATCAGTATCAGGTGTTGGAGAGACACAATGCTTTTAGTCGGAGAACTGTTATGTCGCCTGTCACGTGATTCCTGATATCCCAGGATGGGTACTAGTCATTTCAGTCTTCAGTCAGAGAGGCTACATCAAGCAGCTCAGTTCACCAAGTAGTAACTACAAGTTCATTACCAATCTCGATTACTCTGGATACAGAGGTATGGATTTCATCCTTAAATCTACATATATTACTGTTACTTGCTATGTAGCTGGATGGATGGCAGTGGGGTTGTCATGGAGGGGGGATAGTTGGCAGCGGAGAAGTGTTGGCTAGGGTAGTGTCAGAGGGGAGGGGTGGGAGTAAATTTGTCAGGGGGTAGGGACGACAGTAAGTAAATTGATATGAATGAGTGAGATGGGAGTTGGAGTTTCTTTTTGTTCAAACTGCTGTGTTAGCGTCTCTCTTTCTCTCTTTCAATCTCTCGATCTCTCTCTCAAGTGTGTGCGTCTCCCCTTTCTCAATAAGCTGTATCTGCCCCTAGTTAGTATAGTAGGCTAGGTGTGTTCTCAAGTCTTGGTTGATATTTGATGCATTTCTTTAATTATTGATACAATAGGTTCATAAATATTCATTTGCTGTGAATATTTTCAGTGTTCAACCTGCATGTGATTATCAGTGTTTATACACCATGTACAGGCTTAAACTCCAATTTACAACTCGCTCATTCAATCCACGAGTTCGCCCACCCAGCTCCATATATTTAGTCACATGGTAGATGATTAGGTGTTTACTGTGCAACTATCCAGGAAAGATCACCCTTGTAGAATTCACTGGAGTTATCTCCCCTTTCCCTAGACGGACATCACCGTCTGTATCACCAGTAGTGACCTTTGTCTCTGTTATCCCAGTTTCCCCAGTAGAAAGGTCAGGGAGTAGATGCCCTTGTTCATATTGACTTCGGTGTCCGTCTGTTTAATATTCAAACAATACTTTATCGTCACCCGATATTTAGGAATACATGCTTCAAGATATAATGGACGAATATTGTCTTTTAATGAAATTTGATTATTCTAACCCACAAATCATTATCAAAAGAAACATAAAAGCATATATCTGAAAAAAAGTTGATACAGTAATGATACAGAATTTACTTATCAATTTAATATCAAATATGAAATATATGAACACAGGCTACATGAGACTGACTTACAACAGGACGTTTATGTAGAAGGCTCTAGTCAACTCAGATGTATTCGTCTTTTGAGAGCCAATTACTATTTGGACTAGCTGACATGATCAGAATACAGGGGTCTGACACACGCTGTTAGTTTCATTGTTGAACATCGTTGTTTGGTCTTGTTAGTGTCGCTAGACATTGCCACATCGGAGGGAGGGCTAACGAACTTCGCTCATTAGACTTGGCCACTAATGAGGCAGTGCTGTTACAGATGCTGTTACACTGCCCCTTGGAGGATTGAGCAGGGCGGCCGAGGTTGTGATGTAATCAGGCTAAAGAACAGGCAATTCCTAGGATGAGAGAGCCACAGCATTGATTTTAGTTTGGGCTGAACTTGAAAATTAAAAATCTAATCATTTGATTTTATCAGTTGAGGAGTGAACCTAACTCAAACACATTTCCTGAAATATTAATATCATAGATTTATCAATACTCATTGTAAGGACCATGAATATTTAACAGTCATTCAAAACAGTTCCATTGTTATACAAACACATTTATCATTTAAAATGTCAAATGACAGGCAAATATGGTAATTCATTTAATAACAGAACTTTAAAAATGTATGTCAGAAAAAAAGCTTGAAAGAGGATAAAAATATCATGGCACATTGTAGTGGATTTGATGTTGCCAAGGATAAGTTAGGTAATCGTTTATGTGTATGTGGTGTAATGGCATATGGAATATGTGAATAGTTTCAGCCATGTGTGTTTGACATGTGTCACACTTCCATATGGTGAAGGCTTGCAGGCTTATATCACATATGTTTCTATGTGATCACGTCTGTATCACATGTCTGCTGGTACAGCAGCTCTAACCTCACGTTTCCATTTGTTGTAAGATGCAGACAACAATGTGATCATGCAATATATAAATTAACTCAATGGTTGAAACCATACGTCAGTGCACTGATGCATTGTGAGTTTTCATGCGATGATGATCTAAACAACATTTTTTCATTTTTTACACATGCTAATATGAATTACTTGCTACTCTTTCAATGAGCATTTTTCTCAGTCAAATGTTGAAAAATATGTTTAATAAGTATTTTAAGTTCATAACTAAAACTAGCAATCACAACTTGTTTATGCATTAGATTTTCCTTTCAAACCTGCTGTGAATCCGTGAAGGTCCGGGTTAGAATTGATCTTCAGTAACCCATGCTTGTCGTAAGAGGCAACTAATGGGATCGGGTTGGGCAGGCTTGTTAACTTGGCTCACACATGTCATTGTATCCCAATTCCGTAGATTGATGCTCATGCTGTTGATCACTGGATTGTCTGGTCCAGACTCGATTATTTACAGACTGCCGCCATACAGCTGGAATATTGCTGAGTGTGGTGTAAAACTAAACTCACTCTCTCAAACCTGCTCTGAAATATTTATTGTCAAGGACTTTCTAAATATTTTGATAATATGCTATATGTATCGTATCATGACCAATGTATGATGATACATATAGTATTGACTGATGTATTGTTTCACTGCTGTTCTCAGTGTATCCAAGGCAGGCAGGATTTATCGTGAAGTGAATTTCGCACTTGGCTGGTGGCTTTGTTTTGACTTGGTGGCAGCTATGGTATGTCTGTCTGGCAGACATCTATCTTATCTGGCAGACATTAGTCATTAGAGTCAGCATCCAGTTGGCACTGACCTTTGGTCAACTTATTGGTTTTGTAGTGAAATACGAGCTAGGGTGTATCTTACCATGGAGCTGTGTAGTGACATGCGAGCTATATCTGACCAGGGAATGTGGAGAAGATACCCTGGTGATGGTGGGGAGAGTGTTGTTACTGCCGTGTCTTGAGATGAGGGGAAGGGGTGTGGTAGCTGGGGGTGGGGTGTGCTGGAATTGGTTCCACACTGGCACAGTAATATACGTAATTAAATGTGGATCAGATAACCCATACAACATTGGTGACATTTCAACATAATGACAACTTAGTCATTAATTGTGTATATAAATAAAGTGTTCATTTATTTAAGGCTAGCTAATTCAATTTATATTTTACAGGTTTTCCTTGACAGTAAGGAAAAACACAGAAAACAAAATGATATATCAGTACTTGAAATAAAAGCTTGATTTTTTCAATTCTGAATATCGATATATACATGAACAGCTTGTCTGTAAATCAGGAAATATTTTGCGTCTTTACTTTGAAAATATTGTCTCGAGGGAGAAATATTTCTCCTGATCAGATACATCAGCATGGTACAGTTGTATCAATATTTTCTAAGGTATGTTGCTGATGAAGGTAGAGGCGGACTGTTTACTGTCAACAGATGCGGACTCTGATCAGATAAGACTGATTGGAACTATGGTTCTGATTATAATATTTCCTGTGGATAACGAAACATGTTTGGGGAGGAATCCCCAGGTATGCAGCCCCTAGGGAGTAGGCTTGTTGATCAAAGACAGGAAGATCATGGGTAAACATGGAAGGGTGAGGGTGGGAGGGAGAGGCAGGTGGAGGATGCTGGAATGTTGTTAGGGGCTAGGGATGGCAGGAGAGGGCATATCCAGGGGTAGTGGGGTGGTATGAAGGGAATGGATTGGGGTCGGGTTGTCGTGGATGGGGGATGGTTGGCAGTAGGGTTGAGGAGTGGGGATGATTGGCAGTGGAGACTATGTTGAGTAGGGTAGTGAAGGGGTGGGGAGTAAGATTTTCGGGGGGATAGGGATGACAGGGAGTGTATGAGGAGTATGGTGGCATGAAAGGACAGAAGGCAGTAGGGTTGACATGGAGGGGATGGTTGGCAGTGGGGTTGACATGGAGGGGGATGGTTGGCAGTGGGGTTGACATGGAGGGGGATGGTTGGCAGTGGGGTTGACATGGAGGGGATGGTTGGCAGTGGGGTTGACATGGAGGGGATGGTTGGCAGTGGGGTTGACATGGAGGGGGATGGTTGGCAGTGGGGTTGACATGGAGGGGATGGTTGGCAGTGGGGTTGACATGGAGGGATGGGGCAGTGGGGTTGACATGGAGGGGGGCAGTGGGGGTTGACATGGAGGGGATGGTTGGCAGTGGGGTTGACATGGAGGGGGGATGGTTGGCAGTGGGGTTGACATGGAGGGGGATGGTTGGCAGTGGAGACTATGTTTAGCAGGGTAATGAGTGAGTGAGTTTAGTTTTACGCCTCAAGCAGGGTAATGTCACAGGATGGGTGGGAATATGGTGGGCAAAGAAACTGCGAATGATGATAGAATATATACAAGGGGAATAACAGGATTGGTTGTGTGGGATTGTTGGGAGTAGATGCTTATATAAGTAGAAAGAAGGGATTGGATAGCCTGAAACATAAATAACAAAAAAACTCAAGGCAAGTTAAGTCTTTTGCATGGCTTTAGACTAACACATAGTCTATAAAATATCCATTACATAATGCGTATTTCTAAAAGTCCAGATTTCACATGCTTGAAGAGATAGTCTGGTATCCTTTTTATTATATTTTTTGAACAACTGTTTCAAAAGCACCTTCAAATATTTCATTTCCGAAACAAGAAAAGTGTCGGGAGGGGGAACTGGGGTAAATACACCGGGGGAGTAGGTTCACTGGAGAAGGGAGGGGAGGCAGTTCAGGGGATTGTGGCGGACAGGTTGGGACGTCTGCTCAACATGGCCTGTGAAGCCTAATGAGCATTCCTGCCTTATGTCTGTTCCTACCAATGCTACACATTTGGTGGGGGAGGGAGAGTTCAGGCCAGTGTTGTTGATGAGCTCAGGATGGAACTGTTCCTCTTCACTGACAGTCTGCACTTGTCCAAGTCTGCTGCCATCATGAGATAGGTCTTTCTCGCCAGTCAGCCTTCAGACTTCTGACAGAGAGGTCACACAGTTCTAGACTCTGATATCTTCACTTGTTGGCTCTGAATTTGCTTGTTTCCCTCCACTGACTATAGACATCAGGATGCGGATTTAGTTACTCACTGAGAATGGGATCCTTGTATGTATGAACAGTTTGGTTCTTAACTTACTGTGGTAAATATGTTTATCTTCTCATGGTTGTAGGGGTGGTTGAGTAGCCTGGTGGTTAAAGCGTTTGCTCGTCACGCCAAAGCCCCGGTTTCGATTCCCCACATGGGTACAAAGTGCAAAGCCCATTTCTGGTGTCCCCGCCGTGATATTGCTGGAATATTCCTAAAAGCGGTGTAAAACCATACTCACTCACTCTTATGGCTGTATTTTGTTTCTTTCTGTCAATTTGTTTGTTGATATGATGTTAATATGTTGATGTTGTTTTTCAGACGTCACCACAGCGACTGTCGTAACATGATGGATCATCAGCACCACCACAAGCGTCGTCATAGAAACCATTGCTCACATGAAGATCGACCAAAAGAGAGTCAGGATCGAAGGAACTACTACCTTGACCTTGCTGGGGTGGAGAACAATACGTCAAAGTTTCAGAATAATCCTACCGTGCCCACAGCAGGATCGGGTTTTGTGCAAACTGGCCACCACAGGTCAAGGTCACATGATGTGACCAAAAAATTTGACAATGTGAAAAGAGAATCTGAACGCTTAGCAAAACATTTAGAAGGTTCAAAACCTGACCACCCAAGGTCAAGGTCATTTGACCCCCAGGAAAAAACGGCTGTATGTTCCCCGAAAGGACATTCGAAAAACCCCTCCTCCCCTCACAAGCACAGCAGCAAGTTCCGACCGGTTAGCCTACCAGCACATGTGCCCGCTACAGTGTCGCCCCATTACCATCGGCGCCATCGACACAGAGAGAAGGACCATGGACTGGCAATGCAACAAGTTGCAGAGTGGATTGAACGGGAGCACGCATGGGAGATGGAGGGAGAGCACGTGATGGTGCAGCGTCATGAACATCACCACATACATGAGCATCACCATCACCATCACTACCATCACTATTATGAAGCATGACAACCAGCCCGCCCACGGAAGAGAACATGCAACAGACTCAACAAAAATAAATATTTATTTTTTTTGTGCATTTAAGCACTGCCATATTGGCCAGTGAGATCTTCATAACGAGATCACATGCATTTCTTACTACTTTTTCGCCACAATGCAACCGTTGAGTCTCTGTACAAAAACACTCTGCCAGTCCTCAAAAGGGCAACATGAAATCCCATGATGCATTTGTGAAGTGACATCACTTCCTGTCTGGAACAGGGAAGACTTTTTGTGTTGTCATTATGACGTGGGTTACTGCCTTCTTGATTCTGATTGGCCGAAAGTGACCTTGACTTTGGCCACTGCTTGTGTTCTGGGCATGAGCAGAATGGCTCAATCTACCTCTTGCAAGATTATGTTTCTATTCTCGTTTGCTAGCATTCACGCCAGTTGTACAGAAACCGGACATGTGAATATTGTACATTATGTATGTAGTCTATATTTATGCACTCAACTTCAGTATCAACTATACCTCGGCCTATTGCTAGTCAGGGTGTATATTTTTGGCCGAGATCGTTATTGAAAAATATGTTGTGTGAAAAATGTGCATGTACAAAGGAACAACTTACTTCAATGGATATTTGTGCAGCCAATCCCCGGACGATATGTTGTGAACTGTTGTAAAACTAAGTACAAAGTTCTGAGGGAAATCCAATTTTGTTGATTATCTTCAAGAGGTGTAAATTGCCTTCTGAGTTTACATGCAAAGTTGATCGTTTTGTTAAGATAAAATCTAATCATGATATTTGATGACCCCATTTACTGCCGTTAATGGTTTGAAGGCATAATCCAAATTGTTGTGTAATCGTTTAGAGGTACACCTTTCCATATTGGAGACGTCACAAGGTTATGTTTGTTATGGAATATGTTCATGCAATGCCTGAGTTAAAGAAATGTCATGTAGTTGGATTGTGAAGTCTGTTTCAATCTCAAGAGGCCAGTCTGTTCGTAGTCCCAGTGATAACAAAGTTGTAACAAACTGGGCTTCGTCTCTGAATAATTACATCCCATTGCGAGCATTATGATAGTCATGTTTCAGCTGTTTTACAAATGTTTCATCACTTTGCTTCCTGAATGTAGACTGTTCAATCTCCTGTATAATATTGGGCCACATCTAATTATTGTGTTTTCATCATTTTCTTTGTTAATTTAATCAGTTTCATATTTCCATAGTAACAAACACAATGTGTGAATGCTGTACTTCACTGTAATATTTGAAACAAACCTATACAAGGCTGTAGTCACATGTGCTGGAGATGAGATTATTTAAGTGAATATTTGAGAATTCCTGCTCAAAATTGTGTTGTCTGTGTATCAGAAAACTGACTTCATTCAACAGGAATAGACACAGCCCAACCAACCGAAGCACTGATTTCTCAGTAAGTCCAGGATTCTATTCTTTAACATATCTTTTTGAATTCAAATTAACTAATCAAAATTGCTTATAGTTTGAAACAAACATTGAAAAACAATTTCCACAGATGCAGATTAGAATAAGTTTTGATTGTTGAGTTATTTCATTTTCACAAAATGGTGGTCTCTTTCAGCATCTGTAACAATAGCCTTGATTGGCTGACTACTAACTAGAGAACTAGGGTGCTCATTTTTGATTGGCTGTTGTTCTGCCTGGTCTATGTAGTGATTTTTCTTCCTGGTTTGAAAGGTATGTGTTTTGATGCTTTAATATTGGTTCCAGACTGTCTGGATGTAAGCACAGGATACCATTCTGTGTGTCGGTGTAGATTCTCCATCTTCAACTCTTAGCATATTTCTAAAAACTCAGATTATTAAAAAATTCAGATTATTATCCTTTCATGCTGGCCACAAGATCAGAATAGAACATGAAGTCAGAGACCATATAATACATGGTCTCTGATGAAATGTTTTGAAATTTAAGAACTAATTAATCATTCATATATATATATATTATGAGAATGGTTTTACTAAGCATTAGAACATTTCCTATTTCAGTTCATAACTTGGCAAAACATACACAGAAATGGTATTATTTAGTTTGAATATTTTGTAAAAATATTGCAAGATGAAAGAATTTTGTAATTGATAGAATCAGGCTGTGTTGAGGAATCATTATTCCTGATACAGTCGCACAACATAGGTATTTTGACTGAGGTTGTTGATGCACATTGTATAGAATTGATGATGGAAGATTCAGTGAGAGAGAGGCACCTCCTCGGTTTGTGTACTACAGACTGTTTATAATACCCTTGTACTCACAATCTACCAGAAAAAATAAAAGGTTTTGTTGACATCCAATTCAGTGTTTACTTCTGCTAAATCTTACAATTATATAGGCTGGACAGCTGATATATAACAGTAAAATACCTACTCCATTTTCTGTATGACAGAGTCAGTGAGCGAGTTTTGTGTTTACGCCGTGTTTAGCAATATTCCAGCAATATCACAGCAGAGGGCACCAGAAATGGGCTTCATACATCGTACAAATGTGGGGAATTGAAATCAGGTCTTCACTATTCGTGGATGTATTGCATAACTTGTTTATACATCAGGATACAGGTTAAATCAACAATCACTATACATGGATGTATTGTATACCTCATTTATACATCAGGATACAGGTTAAATCAACAATCACTATACATGGATGTATTGTATAACTCATCAATACATCAGGATACAGGTTAAATCAACAATCACTACACATGGACGTATTGTATAACTTGTTTATACATCAGGATACTGGTTAAATCAACAATCACTATATATGGATGTATAATTCGTTTATACATCGGGATACATGTTAAATCAACAATCACTATACATGGCTGTATTGTATAACTTGTCTGTACATCGGGATACAGGATAAATCAACAATCACTATACATGGACGTATTGTATAACTCGTTTATACATCGGGATACGGGTTAAATCAACTATCACTATACATGGCTGTATTGTATAACTCGTTTATACATCAGGATACACTATAAATCAACAAGCACTATACTTGGATGAATTGTATAACTCGTTTATACATCGGAATACAGGTTAAATCAACAATCACTATATACATGGATGTATTGTATAACTCGTTTATACATCAGGATACAGGTTAAATCAACAATCACTGTACATGGCTGTATTGTATAACTCGTTTATACATCAGGATACACTATAAATCAACAAGCACTATACTTGGATGAATTGTATAACTCGTTTATACATCGGGATACAGGATAAAACAACAATCACTATATATGGATGTATTGTATAACTCGCTTATACATCGGGATACAGGTTAAATCAACAATCACTATACATGGATGTATTGTATAACTCGTTTATACATCAGGATACAGGTTAAATCAACAATCACTATACATGGCTGTATTGTATAACTCGTTTATACATCAGGATACACTATAAATCAACAAGCACTATACATGGATGAATTGTATAACTCGTTTATACATCGGGATACAGGTTAAATCAACAATCACTATACATGGATGTATTGTATAACTCGTTTATACATCGGGATACAGGATAAATCAACAATCACTATACATGGATGTATTGTATAACTCGTTTATACATCGGGATACAGTATAAATCAACAAGCACTATACTTGGATGAATTGTATAACTCGTTTATACATCATGGATGTATTTATAATCGGGATAAGGATAAACAACAATAACTATATATGGATGTATTGTATAACTCGCTTATACATCGGGATACAGGATAAATCAACAATAACTTTACATGGATGTATTGTATAACTCGTTTATACATCAGGATGCACTATAAATCAACTATCACTATACATGGATGTATTGTATAACTCGTTTATACATCGGGATACAGGATAAATCAACAATAACTATACATGGATGTATTGTATAACTCGTTTATACATCAGGATACACTATAAAACAACAATAACTATACATGGATGTATTGTATAACTCGTTTATACATCGGTATACTGGTCAAATCAACAATCACTATACATCGGTCAAATCAACAATCACTATACATGGCTGTATTGTATAACTCATCTATACATCAGGATACTGGTTAAATCAACAATCACTATACTTGGATGTAGTGTATAACTCGTTTATACATCGGTATACTGGGCAAATCAACGATCACTATACATGGATGTATTTCATAACTCACTTATACATCAGGATACAGGTTAAATCATCAATCACTGGACATGGATGTATTGTATAACTCATTTATACATCAGGATACAGGTTAAATCAACAAACACTATACATGGATGTATTGTATAACACGTTTATACATCGGGATACAGGACAAATCAACAATAACTATACATGGATGTATTGTATAACTCGGTTATACATCGGGATACACTATAAATCAACAATAACTATACATGGATGTATTGTATAACTCGGTTATACATCGGGATACACTATAAATCAACAATAACTATACATGGATGTATTGTATAGCTACTCTATACATCGGGATACTGGGGGAAAGTGTTGCTACAGATGTTGTCAATCAGTGTACTGACTATGGCAACAGTCAATTTATATAGAAAATCGCTGTGTGATGTTGTTGGTTCTCATGAGGTCACAAAATATTACGTCACTTGTCTGTCAGACGCTGAAGCTAGATAGTTATACTTTTCATATCCAAGACTAGTTATTATAATTACTGTTTACAAACTGAAATATTTTAAAGAATAATTCTTTAGGATAAATAGAATCTCACCTGATTGTCTATTGACATCAAATATTCAGTAAGGCCTCGTGGTTTTATCGGGTTGTTGGGGTAACTGAGTGGTGGCTTAGTCTCTCGTCACGCTGAAAACCCAGGTTCGATTTCACAAATGGTTACAATGAGTGAAGTCCATATCTGGTGTCCCTGTGATACTGGCTAAAAGCGGCGTGAAACCATATTCACTCACTAAACTTTTAAAGAAAGAAAACGACACGGTTGTGGGATTCTCTATATCTCTTAATTGAATTCCAACAAAATATTACGAAACAATAGTCAAAATGGCGAACTCTGTGGTTCTGAGGAATCCGTGTAGTTGTGAGAAAATAGTCTGTGAATGTAATGTCATCGCCTAGCAACTTCAGAGCATGGCGCCAGTCTTCAGCTGCGCCTCATAACAGTAAGTGAGTATGGTTTTACGCCGCATTTAGCAATATTCCAGCAATATCACGGCGGGGGACACCAGAAATGGACTTCACACATTGTACCCATGTAGGGGATCGAACCCGGGGATCGTTTTAACCACTAGGCTACCCTACCGCCTCGCGTCTCACGACAGAGCTTTGCTTCTCTACAGTATTTCCCGACCAAAGTAAGAAATTGACAGTTTTTAACTTAACTGGTATTTTAGCCGTGATTTATATGTGCTGAAGGCACATTTACCCGCTGTAAGTTATCAATACTGAGAAAACATTTCTTTATGGTTTGTGGAACATAAATATATATTGCTTGGTACCAATCAGGACGTACGGTCGTGGTGTCCTTGACCTTTTTTGGAAATTCTAGATCTCATAGCCCTATCTCTCAAACGTCAAGTAAATATTTTGAAGTTATTTCGCGAGTTAGCTTTCTATTAATATATTTCAATCTTGAAATCATGGAGAATTCTAAATGTCACATTCCGAAAATTTACTAATGTTACATGCCCTTAATCCCCTGTTCCTAATCTCACGCCCAGAACCACGCCTACAAGATTGAAATGGATGGAGCTTCAGTGAACGGTGCTGCACCCACAATAAACATTAAAACTGTTATATCTCCGTTCCATACATTTGATGACGGAACTAGTCTGTCTGACAGCCTTTCCACCCGGCTGATACTGTGACACCACTCGTAAAGGTCAAGGTAAGACCCATGCTTGTCGTAAGTGGTGACTAACGGACTTGGCTGACACATGTAATCTTATCTCAATTGCACAGATCGATGTTCATGCTGTTGATCACTGGCTTGTCTGATGCAAAATCATCTATTTACAGACCGCCGACAAAAAGCTGGAATGTTGCTGAGTGCGGCGTAAAACAACAAACAAACAAGGTGTTCATGATGTCAACCCATGGATTGTCAGGTCTGGACTCAGTCACAGACCGTCATCATACAGCTGCAATGTTGCTGAGTGCGGCGTAAAAAAACAAACAAACAAGATGTTCCTGATGTCAACCCATGGATTGTCTGTCTGGACTCAGTCACAGACCGTCATCATACAGCTGCAATGTTGCTGAGTGCGGCGCAAAAAACAAACAAACAAGATGTTCATGATATCAACACATGGATTGTCTGGACTCAGTCACAGACAGTCATCATACAGCTGCAATGTTGCTGAGTGCGGCGTAAAAAACAAACAAACAAGATGTTCATGATGTCAACCCATGGATTGTCTGGACTCAATGGAATGATATTTGATGACCCCATTTACTGCCGTTAATGGTTTGAAGGCATAATCCAAATTGTTGTGTAATCGTTTAGAGGTACACCTTTCCATATTGGAGACGTCACAAGGTTATGTTTGTTATGGAATATGTTCATGCAATGCCTGAGTTAAAGAAATGTCATGTAGTTGGATTGTGAAGTCTGTTTCAATCTCAAGAGGCCAGTCTGTTCGTAGTCCCAGTGATAACAAAGTTGTAACAAACTGGGCTTCGTCTCTGAATAATTACATCCCATTGCGAGCATTATGATAGTCATGTTTCAGCTGTTTTTACAAATGTTTCATCACTTTGCTTCCTGAATGTAGACTGTTCAATCTCCTGTATAATATTGGGCCACATCTAATTATTGTGTTTTCATCATTTTCTTTGTTAATTTAATCAGTTTCATATTTCCATAGTAACAAACACAATGTGTGAATGCTGTACTTCACTGTAATATTTGAAACAAACCTATACAAGCCTGTAGTCACATGTGCTGGAGATGAGATTATTTAAGTGAATATTTGAGAATTCCTGCTCAAAATTGTGTTGTCTGTGTATCAGAAAACTGACTTCATTCAACAGGAATAGACACAGCCCAACCAACCGAAGCACAGATTTCTCAGGATTCTATTCTTGAACATATCTTTTTGAATTCAAATTAACTAATCAAAATTGCTTATAGTTTGTAACAAACATTGAAAAACAATTTCCACAGATGCAGATTAGAATAAGTTTTGATTGTCGAGTTATTTCATTTTCACAAAATGGTGGTCTCTTTCAGCATCTGTAACAATAGCCTTGATTGGCTGACTACTAACTAGAGAACTAGGGTGCTCATTTTT